AGATGTGTATAAGATGAAATAATATACTATTGCAAAGGGTTTTCATCATTGTATTTGTTAATTAATTTTTTTGAATGCAGTATAATTCTAGCTGTAACCTACCTCCTTCTGGCTGAAACACAAAGAGAACAGAAATGGAATTGAACTAATGACACAGGTTTCCATATTTGAGTGTACATACACAATATATTAATGTTACTTTAGCCTTCGAAGCCACCCAATATTTCATATACTGTGTATGGAAACAGGCTTAAAATTTCCACCTGCACATTTTCATTTATAGGCAATTACTGACATATACCTCAACCGAAGAGGGTGGTAAGACACTGCCGGGAGCCACCATCGATGATGCATTGCAAGGAGATTCCAACCTTGTTGCCACATCATTGATCTCAGAACCAGCCAAACAACAGTGTGCTAGTGGCTGTGAAATTGTGAGTTAATTTAAAAACACATTTAGGTTTAACAATATTATACAGTAGCTTAAAAGCTTCTCTACTCCCTATGCCCCAAAATAAGTCCTAAATCATGTTTACACAACTAAAAAAGTCAATTTAGGGTTTGCTTGCTATTAAAAAAGGTGCATGTATCTTATTAGAAGGAGACTCTTCCAGCTTACACTAGAAGGTAAACAACTGATTTCCAAAGGCCCTCTTAAATTGATAGAAAAATTAGAATGCTTTATCAACTATGTTTCATTACCGTAATGCTCGAATAAGTACTGCGGTGCTTATAAAATTCTTGGAGGCTTCAGTACGGCGCTTATTCAAGAGCGGCGCTTATAAAGAAATATTGGCGTGGCCCTTTCCATGCCTGTTCCCATGTTACCTATCTCACATATTTTCGTAGTTCAGTTGGCCTGTCATAGACCCTACATCATCGTAAATAAACATTTATAAAGATATGTTTGTGTCTTTATTGCGTTATTTATTCATTTCAACACTGTATACATTGTATTTGTTACCCTGTTTCTAAAAAGTGTTTCATTGCGCACAGGCATTTATTCACTCACATAAGTGCCGTTGGCACATATTCGAGAGCAGCGCCTAGCGAAAAAAATCACGTTTGGTTCGGCGCTTATTCGAGCATTTACAGAATGAGACCGAGTAGAATTTTTTCAGTATGAGAAAAAAATAATGTGTCACGGGATTTGAACCCCAGAAGGCAAGCATCTTAACGACCCAGCTATAGAATACTCATGAGGAAACTTCACCATTTACCAAATTTTCAATTTTTGAACCAGGTTTTGCCGATCTCTTCTTATCTCTTTTAATTACTGCTTCAGGCGATTTTGTAACAAGATTAAATTCTCCAGGATGGTTTTTAAATACTATACTGGTAATTTAATGAGAAACAGCAATGCATGCTGTGATAATGACTCTTAAGTAGAGGTATTCTTCTTTGATGTTTAATTGGATTATTGAGATAGGATTATTCTGGCAAAACCTGGTTCACTAACCCGCCTGAATGCCCTTTTGAAGGGTTTGCTGGTAAATGGGATAGTAACAGCATGTTTTACACTGGATTAATAAATTTGATATTGAATAAGTTATGATCAAATTACATCTTTTTTTGCAAGTTATTTGTAATTGAATGAAAATGATTACATTTATGAATAAACATATGCTTCACCAACAGCCATCCAAGGTTATTGAAAATTTAAGGTCAAAGTTGAAAGGAGAATACATGTCTAAAACAAAGTCAGCTATAGCATCGATTGACGCTGTTCTTGCATTCAGGAATGCTGGCAGGGACACACTTCTGGCTATCCTGAGGGATCGTAGAAATGAAGAAATTTTGTAAGCCTAAGATTTCTTTTTACCTCCACTAATTTTATACATAGGCACTTCCAAGCTTTATTCTGTAGATGTTAAAATATATCAAAAATAATAAATGTCTTTCTATATGCATAAGGGACATTCCATTTTCACCTTATCAATATATTTTATCTCATTGCACTCATATATATGTTAAGCCAGGCACTCACTTGTCGTACAACAAATCCAACTTTGCTCCCAGTGAGAGCCAATCTGCTTATTGTCAGTGGCAATCTGCTGCGTTCTCCATAAAATTGCATCAGCTGACAATTGCCGGGTGCTGTGAGCAGCCAGCTTTACATTTTTTGTATACAATACTATTTATATAATGTTTAACTCATCTGATCTTTGTTTCCCAAACTTAGACCTCAATTATTAGATATACTTGCAGCAACACAGACTCTGGCGTCTGAACAGGCACTGTTGGAGTTAGTAGATTTCAAAGATGAAGAACTAATAGAAAGTATTGAGCGACTTCTGCTTGTTACTGGCTACAACAACCATCCTAGTGAATTTCTTCTACAAACATATTTGGTATGTTTCCAACAAAGTAATTATAACTAAACTGGGGTTGGTCAGTCAAAACCTTCAATACTAATAGTATTAGACTACTCTGTTAATAATAAAATCATAATAATATTCTTCCAATATAAATCATTATTTATACCATTTCTGCCAGAAATGAATTTTAATCATTTTGAGTCCTTTTATTATTGTAATTTCTTATGTTATTCTTTCTAGGATATGCTGAAAAATAATGGTGTTCCAAACGCTGAAGCTAAAGAGACACTTGCTCTTACTCTTGGGAATTTACTAGGAACATACTGTGGTATAGAATCCAGATGTCAAACAAAGGTATGATACTGTGTTAAGGAACAGTTTACATTGTCTTGTACACTTATATTTTTTATTAAGAACACTGTAGTACTAGTAATAGTGGAGAATATGTTATACCATATTTTCAGAAAGCAGCTAAGCTTACAGTAGTTGGCGAACTCGTGGTAGCTACTGTGTGTGCCCTGAACCGTAATGTCTTTGGTCTCCAGTTCAATTCTATCTGCTGATATTCTTGTGTTTTAGCTAAAGGGCTGAAATGCATGTATAATCTTACCATAGTTAGGATGGAATGTTTAAGCCATTGGTCCTATGTGAAATATGGCCCATGTGCACTTAAAAGAATGAAGTACACTATTCGAAAAAGAGTAGGAATTGTCTTCTGGTGTACTGCCCAATTACCAGAAGGAACCACGGGTAATAAAGTCTTCTTTGGATATTGGTGCTTACCCAGTATAAATCCAATACAGTCCAGTCTAATCTTTGATAATAGTATAGTAATGGTGCAGAAAATTATTGTAAACCATTTATCTTCGTATCCCTTATCATCACCATATTCTATTTGCTTTTTCAAGGTTGCTGTAGATATTCGAGAATATCTTCTGGAGATGGTGAAGTCTGATGATGTACCAACCAGATGTCAAGGACTCCGTGCATTGGGTAATGCTGCTCTGCCTTCCCTCTTCCAGGTCATTGTTGATGTTGCGGCGAATGCAGACGATGCAGATGTAATTACCACAGCAATTAATGTTATGCATGTCTATGATGAAGATTTTTTCACAAAAGATGTAAGTTTGTTGTTAGAGTAGGTTAAGCAAAGTTATTGACTGTTGCACAATTTTGTACATTTGTAAGTTTGTACAACATTTTAATAACACCAGTAATTTCGCCCATAATGAACCTTTTAAATATCTTTACAGGTGAATGATGTATTGAACAGGATTTACCATGAGCTCCGCCGTGAGTATACCTACGTGATAAGGCTTACCGCAGCCAACACCCTTCTCACTAAGAAGCCTTCTGAGCAGGATGTAATCGACATCCTCTTTTCACTTAGTGATCAAAAAGTTCCAGAAATGGTGAGGTTTCTTACAGCAAAGATTGATAACCTTATGACCTTAGATTGTGTGGCAGGGTAGGTTGTTTTTTTTTTTATATATTTACACTATATTATTTCTAAAAATTAGCAACTCTAGTGAATAAACAATACAAAGCCATAACTTGTGTGCCAAGATTATGTCTTAACACTTAAGAACATGAACGAGAACGACATCAGAATAATCATTGGATAATTTATGGGATGCATCACAGCCATTTAACAGCATGGACGTACCACAGGATGTTTACATATTCAATGAACATAGGATGAATGCAGACCTAGATTTTAATTTGAACATGACAGACTAAAAAATAAAATTTATTGAGAATTTTAAGTTTGAAGAAAATGTTTATTATGCTCTACTTTTTACAGACAAACTGTTCGTAATACTTTGTCTTCAGCTGCGGTTAGCAACTACAATACACGCGCTCACAGTGGGCTCTCTGCAGCTTTTACTAATGTCATGGCAGGTAGGAATTTGGCATGCTTCCCTCTAAGTTTATTAAAGTGTTAATGTACTGTAAAGCCTTGATTCTCTTGATCTTCTTCCTTTTTTTTAACTATGTAAAACTTTTTTTACAGACACTGCTGACTCCCTTGCATCATTTGATCAAGATATTTTATTTACATCAACTGCTGTACTGCGTAAGAGTGACTTTTCTGTTAATCTTGAGGCTGATAACAACACTCTACAGATTGCCAATGTAAGACCTTGGGGCCTGAGCTCTATTCAATCAATTTTCTATAGTAATGATGGTCATGAAAACATTTATTTTAATATACAATATATTTGAAGGTTTGAACCCTGTATGGGTACTGGTTGAAATATATCTGGGGAGATTAAAAAAAAAGCAGTGTGGAAGGAACTGGCCACCTTACCACACAATGCTGCATCTTAGTATTGTGGATTCTTAACAGCTCATTCTCCTTTACTCTTGTATAATGGTCAATCTAGGTTGGAATTTGGGCAAGAGGTTTGGAAACTTTCCTTGGCGAAGACACAGGAGAAGATGCAGGAGCTGCTGCTGGTTTGTCTGTCAAAATTATGGACGTTCAGCTTCGACCTATGTCTTTCTCTGCAACCATGAGTGACATCATGAGTCTTGTGTGGAGTATGGGGTCAGACAGTAGTATGACAGCCCTTCAGGGTATTATTTTGCTCCAGGATCATTATGAGGTAAAAGCACGCCCTCTTTAGTTTTTGGTACATTAAATTAGTGATTTGATAGTAAAGGTGATCCATGTTGAAAGTTTTAATGCAATGATAATTTTATTACAATTATCATTTATTACTATTACAGGTCACCTTGTAATTGAAGACCACCTCCAATTAAAGACCACTTTTCTGTAATCCCGTATTAACAAATGTCTTATCTTTATTATTCCATGTAGAGACCAAAGCTGTTAAAGGCCATGGAAACCCTGGTCCCAAAAGTTGTATTGAATTGGATGGAGACCTGTAGTAATATTATTATTATTATTATTATTATTATTGTGATTTTATCTTAGGCATTATTACTCCCATACCTACACCTTCACATTTTATTTTAAGTTTTTTCCTGTCATTGTCTTGAATAAACTCACGTTTAGTTTTTTCCTTTTAGCACATCCGCCTGCAATCTGGATTTGATGTTGAGGTTGCGGTCCAGGGTACAGTCTCCCTCAAACTAAGTGGCGGTCTTGATTTCAGTCTTTGGGAGCGGTCCTCCACAACTTCTATTTATAACAAGTAAGAGAAAGATATCATATCATGAACATTTTCAGGCATGACCTTTGTATATACATTTCTCTGCAAACCAGCTGATAGTGATTTTAACAAAATTATCAGTTTATTTTGCCTCATTGCTGTGAACACTTTTTTTTGCTGCCTTCTGTTTGCTAAACAAGGTATAAAAAAATCATGCCATACCATCAAAACAGTGTAGATATGTAGAAATCGGTATGGAATGTTATTGTTTAAGGATTTTTTATACAGTAAATTATCTGTTTTAAGTAAATAGTTTAAGTGTAGACAACACCATCAAATATAACTAAATAATAGTTTCATCTGAGTTGAAAACAAATGTTTTACCTTTTCTTACTTTGATTTTTTTTTTCTGAAATTTATCTATAATTGTTACTTTGTGTTGTCTTTAATCTTATTTATTAGTGTTTTTTTTTTTGTATTCATATTTTATCAAGGGTAACTTTCCAGTTGCAGAAAAACCTTCAACATCTTTTTGAACTTGAAGCAAATAGTTATCATTTAAAGTTTCTTAATGAGTCACATTGTAAGATGAGAAAAAAATAATACACTGAATTATTATTATTTTCAGTGGTGCTATGGCTGTACGAGGATCTCTAAAACTTGATACAGGTTTCCTCCAAACCGGAATGGAATATTCCGCTGATGCTGATGGTAGCATCACCTTTGTAACTACAGTACTATTTGCTGAATTACCTGCCAAGTTTTGTATGCAAATGATGCAGGACCCATTATTATTCAGGTAAAAAATTTTCCAACATAAATCATATTTAGTATGTAATGTACTGTAACAGGGGTCCAAAGTTGGGGGAAGTCATTTCTGGGAAACCTGTTTGAAAAAGCTTTCTTAACACATATAATTTTGTTTTGCTGCTTATTGCTTATTGTGATACCAATTGACACTGACTTCTGTGAAATGATAATAAAGAGGTAAATACAGTAGTTAAAAACATGCAGATTTAATGAATTTCTGGAGATAGATTATTTTCTGAGAGACTCTTCTCCTGGTGGAATATTGTTTATAGATCACAACACTGCAAAGTGCCTGAATTTAGGAAATTATATGTTATATGTTATGTTATGTTATCTTGTTGTTATCATGTGACCAGCCTTTGTTAGATTTATAATTGTCTTCTAATTTGTGTTTTTTTAGACACCGAGTTCGTAAATATGAGGAGCTAACTGGCTCCACACATAAGTTTACTGTGGGGGTAAACAGGAAGGCCCTTGCACCACCGCTGTCTTTCAAACTCTACAAGCAAAATTCAATTCAATGTGATGAGATGCTGGGCCAGGAAGAAGAAGATAGTGGTTCCTGGTGGTAATTTTAACCCTACTCTACTTTCTGTTTCCAGATCTATTTCAGATGTTTATTATTATACAGTAATAGTTTTGTCTCAAATTCTCAGAATATGTTTGGGAAAAAAGCATTCAAAAAAGCCTGTCAAGTGTTATTAGGAAATTTATATTTGCCACAAGGTGATCTGTCATGAAGGTAACTAATTGTCAGGAAGGTGACTTCTATTTTGGTGATTTACCTGTAACCTGCCACAAGGGTGAATTACCATGATGGTAACTTACCTTGAAGGTGATTTACCATTATAAAGGTAACATACCATGCGGTAACACCATAGAGGCAAGTTTTACCATGAGGGTGATTTACCATGAAAGTGACTTGGGTTACATTGCCAAGATGGTCACTTTCCATCAAGGTGACTTACCATGAGAGTGAATTACCATAAGAGTAACTTTCCACCAGGGTATCTTATGTTTTACTTTATGTAATACCTTCCCTGCTTATAAAACATAGGTGTAATGAAAAATACCCTATTTAATACCATTAAGTGTGTTCCAATTATGTGTTAAAAGGTGTGTTTTCTGTATTAATTTGTCTTTCTTACTTTTACATTCTCATTTTTGGATAATATAATACCACTATGCAAAAAATATTTTGTTCTATGTCAAAATAGATGGCTAGGAATTTTTGCAAGATATATTTTTTACCTGGAAGTGTGTGTAAAATTTATATTTCATTTTTTCAGATTCTCTTTTCAAAGTATCCTTATCCTTCATTAGTGATTACGAACTCATAACATTCCATTTGTGAAAGAAAGTTATCAGTAACTTGTTTGAGTCTGCTTGAATCATAGATAATATTTATCACTGTCAATTTTAAAATTTATAGATAAATAATGCTCTCATGTCTGTAGTACTACTAGATTAGAAGTAGCAACTTTGTTGTTAATTTTATAACCAGTGAGGTGAGCTTAGCCTCTTGAATTTGAATTCAATAACATGAATTTAAATTTGACATGTACCAGCAAAGTATTATGCCTGTTTCTGTAGAGTGTGGAAGTATAAATTATGGTTTTGTATCATACACTGTAAGCCTCATGTTAATGATACTATGGGTAGACCCTGAAAATAAAAAAATAAAAAAACAGTTTTTACTGGAACCCCCACCCCCAACTATAAAATCTATGCTCTGCCCTTTTTGGCAAAAAATATATTTTCACAAAGGAACCTGAATTACTTGTATGATATTTGGTTTTAAATTAAATCAATTTGATAACATAACATTTTAGAACACAGATGTGTATAAGAGACAGCTGTTATCATACTGTAGTATTAGTAATAGTGGAGAATATGTTATACCATATTTTCAGAAAGCAGCTAAGCTTACAGTAGTTGGCGAACTCATGGTAGCTACTGTGTGTGCCCTGAACCGTAAGGTCTTTGGTCTCCAGTTCAATTCTATCTGCTGATATTCTTGTGTTTCAGCTGAAGGGCTGAAATGTATGTATAATCTTACTATAGTTAGGATGGAATGTTTAAGCCATTGATCCTATGTGAAATATGGCCCATGTGCACTTTAAAGAATGAAGTATACTCTTCAGAAAAGAGTAGGGGTTTGTGCCCCGGTGTACTGCCCTCACCACCAGCAGGACCCCACTGGAAATAAGTCATCTTCAGACTTTCGTGGGTTATCCTTGGTGTTTATACCAAATAAATCCAATCAGAAATATATTTTATATAAGTGGTGTGGTATTAATCAAAAGTACATATTATCCAATGTGCCTTGATGATTCATATCATCAACATATTATTAAAAAACAGATTTCTTAATTATTTAGAATCATTATTTTATAACACACAGAACCATTTTAAAAACACAATAATTTGTAATAATTAACCTCTGCCCTTGAATAAGCATCTCTATCAAAAATATGCACAACCTGCAGCTTCCAAAATCATAGAAATGCTGCAGCATATACTACAAAATTATATACCGACTATATAGATTCCCAGCATTTGATTGGTTTGGCTGGGCAACCAGCCATGCCCTCCTAGCCTAGCCTAGCTTTTCCTTTAGGCATTTCTTAGGCAGAAACCATCACCAAATCGTTAAAAATTGTTGTTTTAACATTGAAAATGAGGAAAATAACAGCATAGCATGATGTATAGATATATAAAGGTTAGTTTAGTGCAATAAAATAGATTGCCAAAATTTTGACATTCCAGCATGTTTCGGCCATTATCTCCAAAACAGGATTTGCGACGAGTGACTGGTTTGGCTTGTCTTTGCCACATTTGGTGATACTAGTAGATTTGCCTGAGGTAAATATAAGCTGGAAATAGAGCGCACAAGTTTCATAGTCTATCAAATTCTTATCAGTTAAGGTCCAACATTTACATGCTTCCATTTTATTTTTTTTTTAGCTGGGGGGTGGGGAAGAGTAGCAGTTTGTATTCTACAGAAAAGGTGCAGTACAAAACGTCTGGCCATTACATTAACAGAGTCAATCCGGATAGTTTGATATAGGTGCCACTGGAGGGGCCCGCGGGGAAGTATTGGTGTAATCTGTTAGCCAGAACTAGGACCTAGAAGAGAAATTAATAATACACCTCACAATAGTTTAAAACTTCCCAGTTTTTCTCACCACACCCAAGCGGACTAATCCCCTAAACGCAACCACCTGGCCCCTGGTAGTAACTGTTAAACACAGTTGGACAGCTTTATCCCCTCCCCAAATAAGTAGTGCAATCAGGAAGATAACTCTTAGCCTTGCATCTAATATGAGATTCTACTTCTTTTACAAACAGTCTATGGGTGCGTTCAGGCGAGTTTTTTGCTAGCCTAGAATCAAGATTGTTACTTACATATGTCCACTACATGCATACATGATCATGTTACCACTGCTTATTCGTTTAACAGTGCTAGTAATTTTTCTGTTTTTAAACTACATTTGTCAAACTAAAGAAAGTTTATTCAAAATGCACATCTGCGATTTATTAGGAGTTTGCTATGCTTTATTATTGTAGCTTCTTCGGTCATTTCATTACTTGATTTTGAGACAACTACATTAATGCAGTGGACCAACTCCATATTAAAGCTTAATTAAAGTGTGGGGTGACGCAGCTGGGTGACAGAAGCGTACAGAGCAACTTGATAGAAACTCATCATTTGCTTAATACCTTAAGTTTTATGTCCGAGGTAATTGGTTTTTTTGAAAGCCGAGTTCTGCATGAACCGGTAGACCACCCGCAGATACAATACCAGTAAGACCCCGATGTAACTTTTTCCCATTCCCAAACACACCATTTGTCCATACATGGACAAGGTAAGTAAAAGTGTATAATAAAGAGCCTGTATTTAAACATCTTATATTCTAGTAGGAAGTCAATTCATGCAATAAATTTAGAAACCTTTATTAACATCATTAGATTTTTTTACATTGATGTACTGTATTTTGTTGGAAGAACAATAAGAAGTTGGATGTCAACACACATCCCAACCTTGTCTGGTATTATGCAGCCACTGAACATACTATTTCAGTGTTCAATTTTAATTTTTTATTTATTTATATTTATTCTTATTTTAGAATTAGGAGTTGTCATCAATATTAAAACTGATGTATTTTACACTGAATTTCAACAATGGCGCACTACTTTATCTTAAATTGATACAACACATATCATGTTTATCACAAGCTCATCAAATATCATGAAGTTATTAAAATAATTAGGATATAAATATGAGATATGTTACATGATCTCTAGAAAGTATATCAGATAATTTTTGTTCTAATAAATATGACAAAGTATATATTTTTATTCCTTGAAATCTGCATTGAATGCTCTTCCGATGACGAGTCTACGAATTTCGCTCGTTCCTGCACCAATTTCATACAATTTGGCATCACGTAACAAACGACCAGTTGGGTAATCATTTATATATCCATTTCCACCTGAGGGTATAACAATAGGTAATATTCAGCAACTTGCATACAGCTAATAAAAAGATGTGACTACACTGGCTAATAGGCAAACTGCATGGTAAAATATGTTTTATTTTTATCATAATCATTTTTTTATTTGTTATTTGGTATTTATATAGTGCCTATTCCTCTAAGTTAATGTCAATGGCCGCCAAATGTCTGAAATCAGACGGCTACATAAGTACCAGTACCAATACAAAGCGCTTTGTTGTCCTGGTCAATGGGTCAAAGTGATGCTGCCATATTGGCACAGTGGAAGGCAACCCCCAGATACCCACTTATACTCCTGGGTGGAGAAAAACAATGCTGATAAGTGCTTTGCTGAGGGACACAAGCGAAATGCACGGCGAGATATTGAAACCCCGAACTCGAGGTTGGGAAACCCAACCACAATCATGTATAGTCCATTTAAAATCCAGTATTTATGCAAATATGGTCATGATACATTACATCACATCCAATCAATGATGTAAAAAGGTCAGCATGTTTACATTTTACACAAAAACATTAAATATTTATGCAAATATGGCCATGATGCATTACATCACAGCCAATCAGTGATGCAAAAAGGTGAGGATGCTTACATTTTACATAGAAACATACATTATTTATGAAAATGTGGCATATGATGTATTACATCACAACCAATCAAGGATGAAAGGTCAGGATATTTACATTTTACTCAGAAAAATAAATGCAAGTTCAAAATTAATCATAATTGTAATGTCTGTCCAAGCTTTCAAATTTAATGTGATGAATTTGTGTGATGTGCCCATATATGGGCATGGTGATGTCATATTACACCCAAATATGGCCACATCACTTTATTTGTGAAAGCCTGTACAAAGCTTTAGTTTGATCTAAAGAAATGTTAACAAACCTAAGCACTGGATAGCATCAAGTGCCACCTGTGTTGCATTCTCAGCTGTGTAGAGGATAACACCAGCACAATCTTTGGCATTCACATGACCCCTGTCTACCGCCCTCGCCACGTTATACACATAGGATCGACAGGCACTCAGTCTGGTGTACATGTCGGCCATTTTTGCTTGCATTAACTGAATGGGTATATAAAATAGGTATATAGAAATAGAAACAAAGAATTCTAATAATATGCTTGGTTTATTAAGCTAATTAATACTATTGTATGGCAAATAATTAGTATTTAGTGTTTAAAAAGAAATATTGAAGCAACAGCTATACCTGGAAGTGTCCTATTGGTTGTTTAAAAGCTTTACGTTGGTGTAAATATGGGAACGTTACATCCACGGAGGCTTGCATTATGCTGAAAGGCATTAAAATATTAATATAAATTTTGTGCTTTTTTAAGACAATTCAAAAAGAAAACAAACAGCTTTAATTCAATAAACAAATTAGCATAAAAATTACATTTTTCTTTATTTAGAAAAATTTGCAAGGTCATAGTTTACACTCACCCTAATGGTCCAGCAGATAGGATTAGTCTCTCAAGATCCAGACCACTCATCAACACATACACTCCTTTATTTATACCTCCCAAAATATTTTCAGCTACAAGAAAAAAAATATAGGTTGCATAGTATAGAATTTGTTTTCATCTATACTAATTGTGCTGAAAATGGCTACATTATTACCCATGATCCTTGTTCTAGGCCTACATTACTAGTACTCTCTAGCCTAGGCCTAAAGAGGGTAGGCTAGGCCTAGCTAGCATGTTATAATTAATACGATGACAGTACAGTACACACAAACTGAAACCCGAGGCATATAATTTGTCGTCCTACAGGATTTTTTTTTTAAATCAACCGAACCAGGCCTGAAAGGGTTAATTTTTTCTAAAAACTTTTTTATGTTTATATGCAATTAAATACTTTCACCTAGAGCTAAACAAAAGTGTGGACCACCTCACATCCGGTTACAATGCAAGCTTGGGTATCTAATCATAAATTTTTATTTATTGTACAATACCATACAGAACATTTATAGATTACATTTAGATGAATATTACAATATACAAATCGAACATGGATAGAAAACAAAGACATTAAATCATAATCAAAACCAGAATTCATAGGCCTCATCACACGACAAATGAAATGCAAGAGAACAATGAAAAATTTAACAGACAAAACAAGACTTCTGCGAGGGCCGAGGTTGCTATACAGTGTTCTGTAACAAAATTATTGGCTTCTCCTCGCCAGTGAAGGTTCTGTACCCTTTCCCCAGTGGGTGGATCCAGGATTTTCCTTTAAAAAATAGTTCAAAATATATATTCTGGTAGAAATGTTAGGGACATTTTTTATATTCTAATCTAAAGTTACAGAATTTTACATTCCCTACTAGAGTCCAATAATATCATTTGGAGAGATTTATGGCATAATAAAATAAAATTATAACTAACAGATGTTGGAAATTCAGGTTTGCTTGTTTACAAACTTACAACAAATTTGATGATGTCAATGTCACAGACATACAGTGGCCATACATGCAAAGACCATTGCAAATGTTCCTATTACTTTACAACTTAAGTTCATACCTGGAACTTTGCAATCTTCAAACACCAATTCACTGGTATTTGAGCCTCTCATTCCTAATTTATCTAACTTTTGAGCAGTGCTGAATCCTTCCATCCCCTAGTTTATGTAAAAATAAACAAAAAATACATTAAAATTATGAACAAATAATATAAAGAATACATTTATATAAAGATTACTGTAATTTACATCGGCTTGTGATATAATTTAATTGATTTTGAGCTTTTTCCCTCTTTCATTGGTATGGAGAGATTCTTTGTCAATTTTTTGCATGCAGTTTCATTTTCTTTTTTTGAGTTTTTTCATGTTATATTATTAAACATTTTTTTTCTACAATTTCATTTGCATCCAACAGCAAGTAACTCGCTAGTTACGGGATGGACGATGCTTTTTAAACCAATTCTCTCTATGGGGCTTAGGGAGTGGAGTTGTTTTTAGTTGTGAGAAAAATTCCTGCAGTCACAAGAATTGAACCCAGGATCTTAGTATTCAAAGAACAAGTATCTTAACCGCTAATCTATTCAATACCACACAATTTTTTAATGATACTGTACTTGTATTGTTATCATCCTGTCTACAATAACAGCAAACGATTATTATAGATAATAAAAATAATGCCATTACTTTGTTTGAAAAATATCCTGGTACCACCACTTTTGTGACACCAACAGAATCATACTCTATAATAATGAGCCATATTTGTCAGTTAATACAGTAGTACTATCTTCCTACTTTTGTCCTAAATTATTATTATGATCAAAACAACTCTGTTCTGACGATGAAATCAATTCTCATGATTAATGATCAAAAACAGCTAAATTCTCATGATTAAAAACAACTCCTGATTAAAAACAACCAAATTCTCATAAATAAAACAACTTAATTTTCAAAAATGAAAACAACTTAATTCTCATGATTAAAAACATCGAAATTCTGATGATTAAAAACAACTCTATTCTCATGATTAACAAAAATGTATTCTCATGATTAAAAATAACTAAATTCTCATAATTAAAAAGAAATTTAAGTCTCATAATTAAAACAAATCAATTATCATAATTAAAAACAACCAAATTCTCCAGACTATAATAAAAACACTTCATACCCATGAGTAAAAACAACTACATTCTCATGAGTAAAAACATCTAATTTCTCATGAGTAAAAACCACTAAATTCTCATGAGTAAAAACAACTTAATTCTCATAATAAAACAACAAAATTCTCATGAGAACGAACTAATTTTCTGATGATTAAAAAAATGAATTCTGGTGATAAAAACAACTCAATTATGAAAAAATTAATAAATAAATCAATTCTCATGATTAAAAACAATTCTCATAAGTAAAAATAACTCTGTAATCCACCACAAAAACTAATGAAAATTAGTTTTCACACAAATAAACAACTTAATTTCTGTGACTATAACAAGCAAAGAATACCTCAATTACATAAAACAAAAACTTAGTTTTTAAAAAATAAATCTTATGAATAAAACACAGCTCAGTTCTCATAACTAAAAGATCTTATAGTAATTATTGTGACAAAAAAAATAACTGCAGCATGTTGTATTATACTCTAATAATGCTGTTAGAGGGCAGCTTAGCTCAGTCGGCTAATCTGGTGGTAGCCGCTGTGTGTGCGCTGAACCGTGGAGATCTCTAGGTCCCCGATTCAATTCCTATCGCTGCCTTTCCTTGTGTTTCAGCTAGAGGGCTGAAATACAAGTTACAATAGCGCACCGTCTTTCGGATGAGACGTTTAAGCCGTTGGTCCCGTGTGCATTATGGCCCATG